AATCACGTTGTTACAATATTCTTTCTGATGTTTCTCGAAAAGTATAGTAATTTTAATTTATTTCTGGTTAGTTCTTATCAATGTCATTTTCATAATATCATGTTTGGGATTGAATTGTTCTTTTTAATCCTTGGCCTTAACGGCATAACAGTTGTGAAAGAGCTTAAATTAAAATGTTCTCTGTATTGTGTAATAGGTATAAGTATTATCAATATTTGACACTAATAGCTTTAACTTTTAGACATTTCTTTTAAATATTTAATATATAAATTGTTCTCTAAATTATTATTGCATACGCATCTTTCTTCCAGATGTAATTTATAATCTTCGTTTGTATTTGTAACTATGTGAAAATATCTTTTATATGATGACTGCTTATATTCAATGTTTATTAACATTCACCTTATTGTTTTTTTCATTGCAATCTCATATTTGTTGTATTGTGTTGCATTTTGGGCTTGAGGTTTATGTTACAAGAATAAACTTACTGCTATTACTACCTCTAAATGAAAGCAATTTAAGTTTTTACATATATTATGAAACTTTTATTACAAGGCCGCATACTTTTCAGACATCCTCAAATTGAGCTAGTTTTTTTTACATTTAAAGTGAGGTTTAAGATCGGAGTTAAAAAACTATAGAAAAGCAAACGAAAACCCTGACTAAATATCGAAGTGAAGAAAGTTATCATGAATTCAAAAATTACTTATATCAAAATTTACTTTGCTTTTTGGTTTAAATGATTTCAGTGTAATAGATAAATACACAAGAAAAGCATTGATGCAAAGCATCAAAGGCGACGCAAAAAAAAATGATCAAGTTTTTCACCTAAATACTTAACAAAAGGTGTACGTGTACTTGATAGCAGTACCATTACATGTGACCTGGAGGCTAAGCCCAGTTTAAGTTGAAACTTAAACCAATATCAATAGACTATGTCTTGCCAAGATGCAAAGGCAATTTATAGTCAATTAACCAATCTTATAAGACTCATGCCATAAGAGAGAATTTATTGCTTAGGGTTGCAGACATGTCATTGACATATATTAGACATAAAAGAGACCTAAAATGATCCTCAGGGGGACACCATAGGTACTCGGAGCAGTAGTAGAAAGAGTACCAACCACATCCACCAGCTGCTGTCTATCAGATATAAGTCTTGAACCATGTAAGAATGTCATTATCTATGGCAGATGCTTGATGTTTCATGAAGAAGAAGAGGAAGAAGAAGATCATCTTCATGTGCAAAATAGTTTGATCAACTGTATCAAATGGCTTTTTTAGATCTAAAAGTATCATGCAATACTGCCTTTGGTAATTTCATTGTCCATTTCAAATTTAATACAATCTGTTAAAGGAATCAAACATGTGTCAGTTGAAAAACCACTTCTAAGCCCTGACTGAAACTGCCTGATCATGACTCGAATCCATGACTGTCAGAAGACCAACTGAGCTATCCGGCCGGCTACACATTTTCTCTTTAATAATGAAACAGTTCTAAACCACAACATAATTCCCCGCTATAATGATTTGTGTCCTTGAATTTCTGATGTTTACAGAGCATTATAGTGAATTAGAAATTAGAAACCCACATAATAATGTACCGCGACTGTAGTGATTGAGCTATCTGGCCGCTTACACATTTTCTCCCCTAAATAGTGAACAGTTCTAAACCGTGACAGATACTTTTAGATTTTTACATTAACAGGTAGATTAATTCTTAATTAAACAAGTAAGAAAGAAAACTTTACTTTGTTTGCGTTTGCTCATTAACTGTAGCGGTGAATGCAAACTACCGCACACACATTGAACCGGTTCAAACGGACCTTGCCATTTAAAGGTCGAGATGTAAATAATGTCATTAAAATGCCACTTCTCGTGAAATGTTCATGATTAATGGTACCTAATTTGTGACACTTTTTGTGCCATCACTTGAAAGGGGCTTATGATTTGCAAAGTTGAAGAAAAATTCACATATTGTTGTGCGTGCATGTTTGTGGTACCTTAAATGCTTACTTATTTGGCGTTTTGTCTAGTTGGCACACTAGATAATGTATAATCACCCTTATAATATGTTGCCTGCTATTTAATGTTGCCTTTCGACAGTGTATATGTGATAAGCAGCGTACTCCAACTCAGTGTAGTTATATTTTCTGGTCTTTCGGGATCATTGATTCCAGCACTACTTAGTGTTGAACATTGAAAACCGTTTAAGCCGGTGCTAAAGGGCCGAGTGATGTTGTACTTTTTTATTATCCATCCATGATAACCGCTGTACAAACTTATTTGGTGGATGGATTGAAACTCAAAATCTTACCAGTTCAGGTTAAATATTGAAATTCTACTGAAGCCTGTACTAGGGATCATGGGCGGTAATTTGCACTTTCCAATACCGCCCATGAACAGACTCAATCAATCTGAGCTTGATTCATTTTCAACTTGGTTGTTTTTCTTTATGGATTTTTTATTTATCTCTATTTTGAGAAGCAGCAACATATCGTAATGTTGATTAAACATTATTTCAGTTGAAATAGTGGACCCATTAAAAAGCAAAAAAAAAATGTTGATTGTACTACAAACGCAACATACACTCACTACTAATGGTGAGCTAACGATTTTCAGATATCAGAAATACAAAATTTTATATGCAGTATTAGGCAATGTTTAAAAGCCTTCACTCAAAGGCATAAACAACGGTTACCGTTTTGCCGTGTTGGGCTTCCTTTAGGGATTCTTATTTTCTCTTTTTTGTGCAATATCACTTCAAAACATACAGGATTGCATGGCATGACATTTTTTTTATTCTGCACTGAATTCTTATTTTTACATTAGCTTTGAAAAAACAAAGACATTAGATTTAGAAATAACGAAAATATTGGTTAATGTCTAAATAAGTGTTAACGAGATCAGTATAAAAGAGTCAATTGTATCCAAAGTACAAGATACGGATTTGTTGACCTACTCTTTTGTTGATCTTTATTCTCATATTTAGTGTTTAGTTCACCTGAGTATTATATGTCTTGTACAATGCAATGTTTTTCAACATCATCTCAAAGACAATTAAAAGACGATATGAATGATGAAGATAAAATAAATAATTCTTTTTTTTCTATTTTTAAGTGTTTAAATTTTTTGTCACTATTTTATGATTTTGTCTAATTAAAGAGCAGTGTTTGAGGTATTTGCAGAAAGTGGACATTGTTAATCATAAATATAAGCAATACATTTCTTACATTTATGGGGATAAGGAAAAGTACATATTTTTGTCTTAGCAATAATGTCACCAATTATGCGAAGACAATGTAATGTATATGTGCTGTTCAAACAAACCTGAACATCAAACATTAATAATAAGTGATCAGAAAACTTGAGGGCATTTATGAATAAGTAATTAATTTGTTACTATCTGATGTTATTGAAAAGAAACAATGGCTTAATTATACTAAATTTATTTTTTATTTCGATGAGGGAACGGTTCCCCCGTAAGCATAATGTATCTCTTATTACTGAACAATTGCTTTTTATTTATCGAATCATGTTGTATTCTGTACATGGCTTTTGTTCTTCGGGGGAATGGTTCCCCCGAAAACATTTGCAAAAGAAACAAAAAATAAAATTTGGATGTTTACTTTAGCTGTTTGTCTTTTACTTTTCACAAAACAATACCATTACTTTAGCTGAAAATAATGTAAAAATAGTGCCTTAAAAAGGGGAACGAGTGTATTTCCCCTTTTTAAAATATATCGAGTTTACTGTTCTTTGTGCATGCCTGTGAGAATATCTGTTAGAATGGAATGTTGGGTTTCCCAGAATGTTTTGAGACACTAAAGATCATAGAAAGAAAGTTGTGAAAGTTCAAATTTGAAAAGAAAATCCTTTTAAAGTGTATAAAGCTATAAATGTATAAAGCTATATCTTTGTTTGTTTTTTTTTTTGTTTTTTGTTTTTTTTGGTGTCAAAATTATTGTTTATATTATAATAAAAATAGCTACAAAAGCATAAACACAAAAGTAAATAGTCCATATATATTCAATGAAAGCGAGTGGAACATGCGTTATATAATCGCTAAACCATCTAAAATAGTAGGGGAATATTTTGTCCCGGAACATTTTATTCTAATTTACGTACAATATTTATGTATAATTAATAACAGGGTGCATTCTAGGTAACAACTTTTTCGAGATATTACCGTTAGGATATGAAAACAATATATATTTACCGCTTTTAAATCTTTACAATTTTTTTATCAGATATAGCTTTATATAGCTCTGTCTTGTGCCTTGTCCTGTTTTTGTTTGGTGTCCGCTTGGGCTACTTGCAACTTGTTCTTGGGGGTTGCGTTCATTGAACGCCGCTTTTCCTTGTTGATCTTGTTTATCACATTTTATACCCTTTAACGACATTTGTACATATAGTCACAACGTTGACAAAGGGTATTGATTTCTGTAATTTGACATAGGAACACTGGTCACATCGTTGACAGATCCAGAAAAGATCACATTGTTGACATAGGAATTTTTGTCACATAGTTGACATAGAAACATTGTTCACATCGTTGACAATTCAGAGAAAATATCTGGAAAAGAGTGATCCCTCGGAAGCATAAAAGCAACAAAATGACATCAAAATTGCAGATTCGGTTTTATTGGGTCCAATGAAAACTTACAATATCCCTCACGCCCCCTAGCATCGGCGAGCGCTACTTGATTTTCAACAATTAAATGTTTTGGAATCAATTATTCCGAATGGCCAGAAAAATATAACAACAATGAAGTAAAGTGCGTTGATTTAATGTTAATTTAGTGTAAGGCTATTGCGTTTTATCATTCAATAATTTAAACTCGTGATGTAAGAAGATTCTTCTTATTAAAAAATATGAAATAAAGATCAACAAGAAATATCGGCATTCAATAAACGCATTCATCAACACAACCTAGCAATAGCGCACCGCCAACAAGGAGGATAATTTAAAGACAATTTCTATTAGGTTGAAGATTTTATTTTGTTGTCTATATTTCAAAACATGTATAAACATCTAGACCAAACAATATGTTTAAGAATATCTTTGATTTCTAATGAAATAGAATTGTCAAATTCAAATACGATTTACATAAGTTAATATTAAATCTATTATTAAAAAAATATCAAAATAGTTCTAAGAGCGCTTGAATATTTATTTGAAACATGAATAAACATTTTAATATGCAATAGCAGACAAACATTAATGTAAAGATAAATTAATAAATAAATGAATAAAGTGATTTTAATCACAACTGACAACGTTTTTTTTTTTTAATTGTTTAAATAACCGACAAACAATGAAATAATAATTCAATACAGGATTATAATATATTAAGTAATTAATAAAAACAAATTAAAACTAACAATTGTTTCAAGATGTCAAAACAAATGTTATAAACACCACATCAGCTGTTCATAAATAATGTTCTTATTTAATTTTAGAATTGTGAAAGGAATGGTCATTTTGGGCCATTATCATATTTCAGTACGCCAACACGAAGTGTTCTGAGACCATTGGTTTGCAAATATTATGGTGGTAAGAAATGTATGTATGAATGTAAACATACAGACAGGGCAAACAGAAGCGTTTTAATTCAATGTCCATATGATAAAGAGTATATTAAAAAAGAAAACTGTGAAAAAATATAATATATATGCACAGAAAACAACACTATTTAAAGCGTACATATAATTGTGTTCAACATTCTTCAAATTAAAACAACCTATAATTTAAGCGACACTTTCGTTCAATGTTATGGTCTAAATACCTCTCTCACTTTACATAAAAAGTAAGTCTAAATATGGCTTTTAAATATCACTGAACATTACTAAAGAAAACCACTCTGTAATGGAAACCATTTGATAAGGATCCTCCGCAGCATCTGATAGACAAAAGTTTTATGTGAAAATGCAATTATTGTCTGCAATAATATGAGTACAAACACAAACAACGGAACACAACGTAAACTTAACGCAGGACTGTCTGCAATAATATGAGTACAAACACAAACAACGGAACACAACGTAAACTGAACGCAGTATTGTCTGCAGTAATAAGAGTACAAATACAAACAACGGAACACAACGTAAACTGAACGCAGTATTGTCTGCAATAATATGAGTACAAATACAAACAACGGAACACAACGTAAACTGAACGCAGTATTGTCTGCAATAATATGAGTACAAATACAAACAACGGAACACAACGTAAACTTAATGCAGTCACCGGCAACATCCAGTCAAACGAAACAACTGAAATGTAACCAAGTAGGGCTAAAAGAAATTATGTAATCGCACAGTTATATCGATCTATTTAAATGATATTTTACTCCTCTAGAAATATAACAATTAGAACCACCAATTATTATATTTTATATATTACGAGTATAGTTTTTGTTGTATATAAACATAAAACTAAAATAGGGAAAAACAGAGCCCCTAAAGAACGTCAAAAACAACAAAATTGAAAATGTTGCAGACTCGGTTTAAGTGAGCCTGTTCAAGGACGGTCCTGGTAAGTGCAAGTTATCGTCCACGCACCCAATCATTACAAACGACAAACAAAGAAAAGAGTTCCCTTTCTGTTTATATGGGTGTCAATTTCAGTAGCATATTTTAAGGTTGTCTCCGAAAACGTTTCTCTCTATTCAAATCACCTCAAATGCTATAGTTTCCAAACAAAATAACAAAATGTATCAGCAAAAATGTCATGTAGTTATTTCATTTGTAAACACTTAACGGTAAAATTCACACGTAACGGTAAAATTCATGGGAGAGAGATGTCCTCCACTATGATTTAACAATCTGATTATTTATGGTTTTCTTAAAATTCATATATTTTTATTAAAAAATTATTGAAAAACAAACAACAAATTTGCACAGAAAATAGGTTTTCGAAACATATATCCCTTATAAAATACATACAATACAAAAATACATACAACGAAAGAATTAAACAAATCCACGACATAAAATTCAACACAATCAATTGTTAAGTACGTTTCTTGTTTACAGATCGAAGCTCTCCAATCCTAGAACCAAGCAACAAAGGATCATTTGGCGTAATACTGCAGAACATTGCTTCACAAATTATCGACTTTTTTGTTTGGTGTCCTGCTGGGCCCCTTGCCAGTTGTCTGCTTGGTCGTGTGGAGGCTATGTTCATTGAACCCCGCCCTTCCGTGTTTATCTTGTTTCATAATCTATTGTATTTATGTTATTTTATGATGACACATTCTAAATACTTTGAAAGAAAGCAAAAATTCTTTACTCTCTTGCCGAAATTTTGCACCGAGTAGAAAATAAATGAAAATATTTAAAACGTTGTTAATATGAGAGAAGAATTTCAGAATTGCATGTTCAATCACGTGGTTGTAGAACTCGAAGATGCTCACATGTCGGGGAGCAAACAACAAATTATAACCGTCATACATAACCATAGGTGTCACAAATAAGACGTAAACGATATTAACTGTAAGCAAACTTAACGTTACTGATTTTACTGGTGTTTTTACAGATTTACCCTTTCTCACAACGCTGTTGTGAAGTAAAGATCGTATAATTATGATCGTGCATATGACATTAACCAACCAACCAACATTCTTTAAGATAACATCGATAACAGTTTTAATCATATACGTGACAGGTGTTTCTATTGGAATAATGACACATACACCTCCTGACGCTGTGCGTAAATGTCTTTTGATGTAGGCAAACAATACAGTGTCTGCTAAAGATATTGTCCAGACTGCAAGTACGAGAAATATCGCAACTTTTCTTGTAAACATATTTTTGACTTTGTGCGGTACAACAACGCAACATACTCGTTCTATAGATATTAAAGTAAGTGTCAAAGGGGAAGCATCATAACCGAGCACTGACAAGAAAAGTCTCAATTTACAATCAAGGCTGTTGTACGAGTTCAAAATGTAACCGTTGTTATAAAAAAAGCCCTCTATATAATATCCAGTAACAAACAAATCAGCAAGGGCAAGTGACAGGATAAATAAAGAAGTTGAACAGAAGTGTTTGTTTCCTTTCGCGAGAACAGCAATGATAAAACCATTCCCAATGACACTGATAATTGCAAATGCAATGCTTAACCGTTCCCAGAGAAAACGTCCAACTTTAAAACGTAGTTCCTCAAGAAAAGCTAACAGCACGTCCCAATTGTAACGAGTATGAAATACCAGTACAGTACTTGTCAGATCAGTGGTGTTTGCTTCTCGATCATCATCTGCATAGAACCCTTCATCATCGGCAAGAAAATTTTCAATCGTTGTGTTGTTCAGGCTCATCGTTGTTTCTTCTAGACAGCTGTGCACCAGTCACTATGTCCAATAGAATACTCGTTTAACCTATAGATAGAATAACTCTGCAAACGTTAATTTGGCACCTGAAAGTTGATACATACCTGTGATATTGTACTTAGCAGTGTCCATTTTATCACGGTGTCTCGTAAAAATATATGACTAGTAAAAATACATGACTTCTTGATGCATTTATGTTCCAGTTTTATACTAGAATAGAAAAATACAGAATCCCTAAAGAAAGCCCAACACGGCAAAATTGAAAATGTTGCAGGCTCGGTTTGATTGAGCCTTTTCATGGACGGTACTGGAAGTACAAGTTACCGTCCACGCCCCCTAGCACCGGCTTAAGCAGAATTCAACATTTAAACATGAAATAGTAAAATTTTGATTTTAGAAACATCCGCAGATGTGTTCATTCGGCGGTTATCATGGAACCTTCAATGTGACACTTCCGTGCCATACCATGAAAAGCGGCGTATGGTCCCCAAGTAATAAAAAGCGTGTGCCTTTTTTGTGTGCCCTAGAAGTCCCCCCCCCCCCGCCGTAATACTATCCTTTAAGGCATATTACGGATCTGGTTTTGAGTAGGAAAGGGATTCCCTCCTCGCAACATGATAAGGCTTTGTCAACATCTGTTCTTACGGAATGCCGTTATAATGAAAGTTACACTTATATCTTATATAACTGAAAAACATTCTGGTATTAATGCATCAAGTAGTCATATAATTTCAAGAGATACGGTGATAAAGTGGAAAAATCTACATACAGTAACACAGGTATGTATCAACGTGCAGGTACTCAATTTACTTTACCAGTTCGTAAAGAATAGTATTGAAAAGAAAATCTTGTGCTATCAAAGCTATCTTTGTTAAATAGCAGAATATAAAAACAAATAATGATTGTTTTAAACAGAAAAGAATGCACTCTTCAAGAAGTCTATGAACAATATGTTTATTTTGAATAAAGAGATTTTGAAAATATATATTTTATACAAGGAAAGATTTGTTTGTAAAACAAAGTTAACCAATTCTTTAGAAATGATAAAAAGGGTATTTAGAATTGCGATTTTGTGCAAAATCGTAAATTACAATATTTCAATCATATCGGACTTTTATCTTAATTTGTATCTTAGAACTTCCTGATGAACTTCCTTTAATAACATAAACACAATAATGAATCTGGAATTAAGCCCCGTGTCCTTTAAAAAGTAAATTAAATTTGGCCTCACAAACAATATGCCAAAACTTCTCCATTTTAACACTCCCTTTCATTTTTTTTATGTTTGAAAAAGAAAAGAAAAACAGAAATGAAATCAAAAAACAGAACGTAGTTATAAAAGTTCAATGTTGCAAAATTCTTAGGCATAATGTGAATTGTTTGAATGTTACATTAAATTGTAATAATTTTGATTTAAATGTCAGAATTTCTACATGTTTCTGTCATGTATGCAAAGTATCTCTTATTTGAACAGATTTCGAAAACAATTGGCCAAATAACAAAAATACGGTTATTATAAAATTCCTTTCATGTATGTTTTTTTTTTAAATTAAAACAATGCAATATGTTGAAATAGAAACCCCAAGAAATGTCTTTAAATAAATAATAAATGTCGCCTCCTGTTTTGCAAAGAACATACAAAGACACAGTTATATTATACATGTACAAGCCATACATAACATGTCAACAAATTGCCAAACATTATACCGACTAAAACTCAGCAACACAAAAATTCTTATTTATTCTTAGTAAACGTGACCAGAAGAGAGAGCATATCAAGTATTATTTATTATCCGTTTTAAATGTATTAATTTTTCTTTTGCTAAATTTGCACTACTTTTAATCTGTTACAGTTTATTCAATGAGGAACAAACCATGAGCTACAAACAGCCAAACTGCACGGATGTGTATCCTCGTCATGCCAATCACGTTCAGTTTAAGAAGGCTTAGTATGTTATTAAAAGAATATGAAATACGATGGATTAAAAAAAATAACTGTCAAACTAAAAGACAGCAAAAATAAAAACAAAGACACAAATGGAACCATAAAGAACTCCCAAAATGGCAAAAATAAAAATAAGAAATGAATGAGCAAGCCCATAGACTTGAGGTAAAACGATCTTCGGTCCACATCCTTAGCACAAACTTTAACATATTATTTAAAAGTTTTTTAACCTTCATTGGGCAAAATTTTCGTAATTATTTCAAATAGTCATAAAACAATAGAAATGTATCATAAGGATAATCTTAGGAAATAATTCTTCATAAAAATGTTGATATAATTTCTAGGTAATAGATATTGATATTTAAATTTTGAATATTTTTGCTTTTTATTTTAGAATATTTCATTATCTGCTAGTATAATATAAATATATGTAAACCTTAACGTGGTTTGTTGACTGTTATGGCTGATGTTAAATTATTTACAATTTTACTTAAGTTCAACTTCAATAATTATTTGAAAATAAGCTTTACTTAAAACATTAAAAATTGTCATGAAACAACCAACAACTTACTTGAATGTTTATTTCAGGAAACAGCACAACCTTGTTTTTTAATTCTAACGTCTTTCTTGTTTTCGGTTTTTCAAATCAATGACAGAGGTATACAAAGCTTTTCTTTTATACATTAACTGATAGATTTAATTGCCTTTGTGACAACATAATGTATTAGAAATCAAAGGCATATATTACAAAGAGAAAATACAATTGATCTGATTAATTATCCAAATGAAGTGAACATAATTGATCATTGCTTCTCGGGCAAACTTATTGTAAACAAATAAATCATCGGCTCATCAAACTTTATAGTACAATAAATATTGTTTTTAAAAATAATAATTGAAGTTCAAAGAAACAGATATATTCATGTACTTTGATGTTTTACAAGCATGGTAAATTCCATAAATATAAGCAATTTACGTAGAATATTTATCAGGATTAAATTGAAATCTTCAAATAAAGTGATTTCATTGTTTCTTTATGGAACATATTATCAAACGAATTAATGCAAATTTGAACGTATTTTATATTTATTTTGAAATGCATTATTTTGTATCATCTCTACGATCATCTAAAATCAAACGACTGCTGTTTGGCTCATTATACCTTAGGACAGTAAATGTTTGCTTCTTTGTAAGGTACAATTATATTAAAGTGTATAAAGCTATATATCTAATACAAAAATTATTGTTTGGAATTTAAAAAAATAGGAATACTTAATGCTTGTATGAATTAAATATGGTAATTATTGCCGTAAATCGAGTGGCGCATGCACACAATCATTGCTAAACGGATAAAACCCTTCATAAAAAAGGCAAAATAATATTTTGTTTCGGAACATTTTATCCTGTTTATGTACATTATCCATGTGTGTTAAATAACAGAGACATCCTATGTTAAAACTTTTTCAGGAATCAACCATATTATAATGGAACCAATATAACTTTACTGTTGATAAATTCTATGAAAATATTTCATAAGATATAGCTTTATATCCTTTAAATAACGTTTCATTATTGCTTTAAAGACATATTAAATGTTTATCACCGTAAGTTAGTACCGCGGAAGAAGAATAATTTAGCACAACTTAAACAGTACGTTTGTAGTATTTTGACTTTGATACTTAAAATACAGATTTACTTAAACAGTTCTACTTGTCTAAAAGCAACAGAAACGGAAGACTGTTCAGCGATTAATCTAATATTTTCTTTTCGGAAACCATAATAAAATGTTTCAGAGATATGAAAATACAACAATGTAATAGCAGTTTTGGGGTTAAATGGGCCTTTAAATCTCCTGAAATATAAATTTATAATTATGGTAGCATATTTGTAAAAGTATTTGCCTCTAAACCAAGGCATCGTAGGTAAAAAGAAATCGACCGCATTTCCTGTATAGTTCCTGTATAGTTCTGCTTGAATACTGAAGAATAATATTTCGCTTGCAAATAATAATTCAAAAACACCCAGTGTTTCATAATGCATGATGCATGACATGTTTTGAAATTAATCCTGTCGTAAGATTTCCTAAACTATTTTTATAGACATTCTGACTAGAACACAAATACAACAAGTTTGCGCAAGTTGAAGAAATGTTCTTTCTGATGTTGATGAAATTATCATAAAATTTATATCGTGTGATATGTGTGTACAATTACTCGGATGCAAAGCCAGAAAAGCATTGATGCAAAGCATCAAAGGCAACGCCAAAATATATTTGATCAAGACTTGCTCTTAAATACTTAAGATATGTGTTTCTTATCAGTACCATTACATGTGACCTGGAGGCTAGGACCCTGTTTAAGTTAAAACGTGTCCCTTGTTGTTTTCTCGTCTACTGTAAGTATCTTCCCATTTGCCCCTGGTTTTTGATTACTTTATTTAACCCCTTCCCCGGGTCTTCTGTCCCCTTCCCCTTAGCCCTTTGACTTTATGGGCCTATTATTTAATCATTTATTTGTTTTCTTTGAGTTCTTTATCACTTTTTTACTATGATTTTAGTGATAACCTGCCCATGCTCTCTTCCTTGTGCCCTGTCCTGTTTTTGTTTTTGGGTCCTCCTGGGCTCCTTGCCATTGGCTCTTGTTGCTGGATCGTGTGGGGGTTGCGTTCATTGAACGCCGCCTTTCTTTGTTGATCTTGTTTATCATATTTTGAACCCAAAAGATTAGACTCTGTCTTGCTAAGATGCAAAGACAATTTATAGTCAATTAACCAATCACTAAAATTCTTATGCCAAAAGAGAGAATTTCTTCAGATTTATTTTACCAGATACAAGGATACCTTAGTCATCAGCATATAATAAAAGCTTATTGCTTAGGGTTGCAGATATGTCATTGGCATATATTAGACATAACAGAGGACCTAAAATAAACCTTTTGCAGACACCATAGGTACTCGGAGGAGTAGAGTGAGTACCAGCCACATCCACTAGACTTGAACAAATTGTAAGAATGTCATTATCTATGGCAGGTGCTTGAAGTTTCATGTGCAGTATAGTGTGATAAACTGTATCATATGCCTTTTGTAGATCTAAAAGTATCATGTATGCAATACTGCTTTTGTCCATTTCATCAGTTAAATTTAACAAACATATGTCAGTTGAAAAACCACTTATATGTCCTAACTGAAACTGCCTGACCATGACTAAACCCTATATATGTCCGAAGACCAACTGAGCCATCCGGCCGGCTACACATTATCTCCTTAATAATGAACAGTTCTAAACCATAACATATTTCCCCATCATATTGATATTTGTCCTCAAATTTCTGATGTTTACAGTCTAAAGAATTGAACTCTAGGTTATATGCAGTCACAGGATTAGAAAATCTTGCAGCTTGACTAGAACTCAAACCTTTGACCCACAGGATAATGTACCGCGATTGAGCTATCTGGCAGCTTACATATTTTCTCACCTACAAAGTGAACAGTTCTAAACCTTGACATATACTTTTTAGAAATTTTAATTAACATGTAGATTAATTCTTAATTAATACAAATAAGAAAAAGAAAAATTTACATCCTCATAGTCTTAATTAAATAACAATTTATATTTTGTATAATATTTTTTACTAAATAAGGGCTTAGAAAATTATTTGTTGTGCCATTATGTATTTCAGGTCAATTTAAGACAAAACATAACAGTTTACTATACTAATAGATCTTTAATATCTATTTCTTTGTACAAATAAAAAAAACTAACCTTATTTCAAGATAAGAAGTTTTATGGAAGCTGATTTGTGCCATGTTATATTTTGCATCAGGAGGCAGCGGGCAAAAACATAAAAAACAACAAACGAAATCATTTCTGGTATATTTATGTTTCATCTGGCACCGGTTTCTTTTTGTACTTTGTTGGTTTTCATGTGGCACAACTCACCCACTATAAAATTTAGTAGACAAATTTATTCAAGTGTAAGCAACAATCTACTCAATGAAAAGTCTGCAGTCGGGTTGACTCTTCCCGAGATTTTGAGGTTGGGACCGGTGTACCGCTATTTCAAAAAGATAAGATAGGAGCTGTCCTATTCAAACTATGCACATGTTAGAAAAAAATAAAATAACAATTCAGAATATGATATTTTTGAGACTTTACATATTATATTGCTTGATCCAAGTTTTAGGCCATTTTCTTCCCTTAAAGGACCAGTACATGCCTACTGGCACAATGAGTGTGGAATATATATCTATATTGCCATGAAACTGTCCGGTAAAATTGCACCATGAACCATGACTTTACTAGTAATGGACACTTATTTAACCTCAATTATGGATAGGTCACTGTGTAACCTGCCAAATCTCATAAGTTCAGAAAATAAACCACAACATCAAGGCTAAGTCACCCTTTACAATATTCCTTTAATTCTTTTATAGATAATATTATTAGCAAGCTAACAATGGGTATAAACCTATAGCCTGTAAACTAATCAATACATGTATTATCATTTATAAATTTTAATTTGCAAGTTTCATCTCTTTAATAATAATGTCATAACTGTAACATTTTAAATACAGAAATATTATACGTCTCATCATATATAAGATATACATGTATGCACATAACATAAATAATTTCTAGTTTCTATTAAATAAATATGAAATCCTAATAACATTGGTACTAGGATGGGAATGAAAACTAAAATGTATTGTATAAAGGTAAAAGAATCTCAAATAGTCTATATCATGTAATAAAGATTGAGTTGTGTGCATATCTCTTTCAGTAACAAATACTGTCCCATTAGACTTTACTATAACAACCAACTGCATATATATTTAGTGTTTAAAATTGATTTCTTCAGGATGTCAATATATGGCAATAAGCACCTATATGCATAACTTTAATTTTATACCTTTCATCTTTACCAAAGTTTATTCTATTTACAATTTAAGTACAAACAAATAGAAAATAATCAAATTGTATGCAGGCTCAGTTTAAATAAAAGTAATTGTAAGAAGTATTCATAAAAAGTAAGAAGGCCATGTGACAGCAGTAGCAAAACATTGCAGAAAACCGGATAGCTTTCTAGTTCCGGATGCTGGTGCACTTTGTAAAAACAACCATTCTGTGCAATAGATAAACGTTATATGGATAAAATCAATAGGACAATCGTTTTCAATAGTTTAATCAATCCTGATACTCATTTGAATGTGAACGTTCTTCTGGTAGTAAAATTCTAGTAGTAAAATCTGTAAAATAAAAGAACGTTAATCTGAGTTCAATAAAAAAAACTGAAAAACATCAAATTGAATATAGACCACAACGATAGTCGGAATCCGGCTGTTAGTATTCGGGACAAGCTGTTAAACTGAGCCTGCAATTTCATATAAATATAACAACGTATTTGTTTACTTGAATTTTACGAATCAAAATAAAACTAAATAACACAACATTACATTAACTGCTAATAATAACAGCTCCAACCATTGGCATTAAAAGCATTCCATAAGAGACGACGTCGCTCACCGGCGTCGTCTACAAGTCATAAACATACAATAAGCTAGGTTTTATTTAGAAATCAAAACACTAATCTATTTATACGGTTATGATATGTGAAATCTGATACTTCTGTTTCCAAAATA